GTTCAATATATATATATATATATATATATATTTGTGTATACTTATGTATATAAAACTCTCTCCATAATACCTTTTCAGGCATTAGCATTTTCCCTTTTTAATTTTGTGTTTGCTTTACTATCTCTAAATATTACGGTTATATTACCACTTCTGTTTAATACTTTAAGTAGTATATTAAAAATGTTTTCCTGTTAATTTTTATCTACACATTAAGTTTAGGTACAGTAAAATTCATTCATTCTGTTACCAAACTCAGGTTTGGCTCTCACAATTCAAAAGTCAACACTCAAGAGACAAGTGCTGGTAGGAACAGAAAGACTGCTTTATTTAGGTGGCTGGTAACCTAGGGAGAAGGCAGAATTGTGTCCTGTCCAGAACCAGCTCTAATGATTTTACCATGGAAATTTTTAAAGGGAAAAAGGGGAATAATCTCAGTTAATCCCTGAGTTAGGGGGTTGGATTTTTGCCAGTTCCCACTATGTGCAGGCTTGTCGACTCCTTGTGATCTTTAGATGCTATCTTGTTCTCACCATCTGCTTATGAGATTGCCAAAGGAAGAAACTAGGGAAAAAGATCTAGTCATCTGTTAATTATTTATTCTTCATTTCTACTTCTTTAATTTAAAAAAAGGAATCAACAGGTTAGGCAAGGTATGCTATTATCAAAAATTTGAAAGTTGTGTGTGGGCTGGAGGTTAGTTAAGCATGGAGGCATCTGGTATAAAGGTTGGTAAATATATAGTTTTGCTAAAATTATGAGATGAAAGGGACCTTCTGGAGAAAGCTTCTGCCTTCAAAGAGCTGCTTACAAATCCCCACACTTAGACATTANAGTCTTTTAGCAGAGCACAAATGGTTCAACTGAGGAGAGAATGCGGTGGCACAAAGAGAATTAGTCTGTGGAAGAGGAAGCCTCTGATGGTCCAAAAATCAAGGGGATTGGTTGAGGACTATGAGTTTCTTTGACATTGTCTCTTCAGCCTATTCTTTCTCTTGATAGTAGAGGCTTTATGAGAGAGAGGCAAGGTGCAAACTCTGCTATGAATGTACAGGATCTTACACCCTGCTGGATCAATTTGCTTCCTTAAAGAAATGTTGCTCCTGGGTCCCAGTCCAATACACAGATGACCTGGTTTTTCTTCTCTGGCCTCCAGGGTTATGCCTTGTTGCAAGTGCCAGGAGACAGCTGCTCTCTTTATACTCAGGGATGGAGGACCCACTCCTGGGTCCCTGTCTCTGAAGCCCTCAGCTAATAGTGTAGGCTAAAACACTGTCTAGGACACAGCTGCTCTGATGAGCTCCTTTGTTCTCTCTAACTTTTAAATCTTCTCAGCCCTTCTTTTCCCTTTAGCTTCATTTCTTTGATACTTTTCTCTTTCTCTCTCTTAAATATATTTCTTCTCTCCTACAATGTGATCTAGTCCCCTACTCCATGGAAAAGGAAAACTTATTTCAACCCAGAATTTGGGGGCTTCCCTTGTGGTCCAGCAGTTAAGAGGCGATACTTCCAATGCAGGGTGGTGGATTTGATCTCTGGTTGATGAACTAAGATCCCACACGCCATGTGGCATGGCCAAATAAAAAATAAACCTAGAATTTTATAACTTAAAATAAAATAAAATAGCCTGTGCATGATCCTGATATCGAATATATGCTAGAGCATAAAATAATGCATATTCAAACTCTAATCTTAGTTACAGTGATCCAGAAGTTATTTCTAGATGACTTTTCTTGAATTATATATACATGCCTTAAATTTCAGAGTGCAACAATGGGAACTTATCTTAATTTTTTATAGTTCTATTTTAATTCTCATCTTTAAGCTCCATTCCTTCTGTCATTTCCCTGAAGAAATTATAGAAGGAGAGGAGAGAACAAGAACAAATGACTAAACCAAATATAAAGTTCTCAATGCAATTTAAAATCAACTAGGTCAGACGTCTTTCACCCAACTACTTCATCTGAGGTTGATGCCAAGTTCTAGGGAGTTCGTGCAGAGTTGAGACAAAGTAGGCAGTAGAAATTTAGGTCCTGAGATTGTATTTCATTCATACAGGTATCTGAGTCCTTCCATGTAGCCCAAGTTGTCATATACTATTCATAGTCTGATAGACCACAAGAGTCCAAAAGTTGTCCCTCCAGGAACAACAGACCTCACCCTGGAGGCTTGGCAAACTTAGATCTTTTTTATCACTATATCTATCTGGGGCTGAGAAGACTTGATGGGATTGCTTCAAGCCTATTAAATATAATTTTCTTCAGGACAGCAGTGCTAGCTATCTTGATCATCACTGTTCTCTGTGTTCATAAAACAGTACTTGGAATGTAGTATCCAGAAGTTGGTTTCCTGATAGGCTCCTCCCTTGTCTCCCTACATAGTCCTCTATACTCCATGTCTAAGACATGGTTTCCTCAGAATTTATCTGGAGACTCTGTGAAGCCCATCTCCCACTCCTAACACATAGAATCTTCTAGACTCAGTTTTAGAGCTCTGAGATTTTGAGGCTCTGACTCTTCCCCTACCCGGTACTCTCTGTATTACTTCTGAGCTAGGTTCTTGGACATGGGAAAATGTCATGGGAAGCAGCAAGGATGGTTGTGAGTGGATCATTGATATTGAGAGAGGGCCAGGTTGTTTAGCCCAAATTATATTGAGAAATCCACATGATTTCAGTGCAGGGAAATAGGTTCAATCTCTGGTCAAAGAACCACAACCCCACAGTGGTTAGAATGAAAACCACATTACAGAAAGTTAATCAGGATGAAAAGTCACAGGGTTATGTCCCAGATTAAGGGACAAGATAAAGGCCCAGAAAAACAACTAAATGAAGTAGAGATAGGCAACCTTCCAGAAACAGAATTCAGAATAATGATAGTAAAGATAATGATAGTAAAGATCATGGGATCTCAGAAATAGAATGGAGAAGAAGGAAGAAATGTTTACCAAAGACCTGTAAGAACTAAAAAGCAAACAGACATGAACAATACACTAGAAGGAATCAATAGCAGAATAACTGAGGCAGAAGAACAGATAAGTGACCTGGAGGACTGAATGGTGAAAATCACTGCCACAGGACAGAACATAGGAAAAAGAATGAGAACAATGAAGACCAGACTAAGAGGCCTCTGGGACAACATTAAACACACCAGCATTTGCATTATAGGGGTCCAAGAAGGAGAAGAGAGAGAGAAAGGACCCAAGAAAATATTGGAATAATAGATGAAAATTTCCCTAACATGGAAAAGAAATAATTAAACAAGTCCAGGAAAGGCAGAGTCCCAGGTGGGATAAATTCAAGGAGGAACACAATGAGACACACACGTAGTAAGCAAACTGACAACAGTTAAAGACAAAGAGAAGGGAAAAATGACAAATAACATATAAGGGAACTCCCATGAGGTTGTAAGCTGATTTCTCAACAGAAACTCTACAAGCCAGAAGAGAATGGTATGATATATTTAAAGTGAAGAAAGAAAAACCTGCAACCAAGAATACTTTACCCAGCAAGACTCTCATTCAGATTTGATGGAGAAATCTAAAGCTTTCCAAACAAGCAAAAGTTAAGAGGATTCAGCACCACCAAACCAGCTTTACAACAAATGCTAAAGAGACTTCTCTAGGCAGGAAACACAAGAGTAGGAAAAGACATACACAAAATAACCCTAAAACAATTAAGAAAGTGGTAATAGGATCATGCATATTGATAATTAACTTAAATGTAAATGAATTAAATACACCAACCAAAATACTTAGACTGACTGGGTGGATGAGAACACGTACATGTATGCACTTACACTTATCACAACACTCTACTTAACTCCCCAAATTTTATGTAATTATTTTATATTGCTAGGTTAATCATGTTTCCATTATGGCTTGCAATTGTAGTTATCTTTTATTGTTTGTCTGGCTATTGATTGTGAAACTAAAACATCTTTTACTATTGTGATTATGTAACTGGTGGCTGCTTATTACCATTGACAATTTTTCTGGTCAACAGAAAAATAAAAGAATTCCATATCACTAAAACTACCATTTAATAGAAAAACCCATAGTCACTTTTTAAAATCCGGATGCATATTAGAATTATCTTGGAAATTTTTGAAAAATGCAAATGCTGAGGGACTGCTTTTTATCTCCAAAGCTCCAGATGTATTTCTAATGAGCCATCATGTTTAAAAACAACTGTATATAAGGCCTTTTACTTTTATCTAATCTGTTTCAATTTTCCTATTTCATGTTCAGTGCTTCATGTTTTAGTTTCATAGTTTATGTTTTCCAGTTTCTCTGTCTTTTTTTGATGTTCTTTCTCAAGCCTTTATCAAACATTGTAGAAAAGCTTTTGTTTTGTATAATACCTATATTTTAGGAAACATATGATTTTCTGCTTAGCTAAAAAACTTGTGACATTTTGACTTCACTTGTTTGACCCATTATGAATAGAATGTTAGATTTCTAATTTATATTCACTCAAATCTTTGATATAATTTCACATATTTTGGCATCTAGGACTACTGCTGGTAATCTAGAAAGCTTTTTATCTTAGTGATTAAAAAAAATTGAATGAGGCTTGAAAGCTCTAATTCAATTCTGAGAATATAGAGGAATACTATGTTGTTAAAAAAACAAATAAACAGGGAGTTAACTTGTGATACAGTATTATTAACTGAAATACAGATTTTGTTCAAATTTCACAGAAAAATTCTTGTATATATGCTATACTATATTTGTTGGTAGGTAATTACAAGACAAACTAAAATTTTATGCAAGATATTTATTGATATGATCGTTATAGCATTGTGCATCTTAATTCACGTTAGAAAATATACTCTTGAAATAATCTTATTAAGTACTTCTTTGTACCAAATCCAAAGGTAGGGATATTAAGCCTGTTTTTCCAAGTTTCACCAAGGCCCAAATAAAAATACAGTTTAAATAATAATAATAATAATAATAATAAGAATAAGAATAAAAGAGTGTAGCAGAACCAGAACTCAGAGATGGAGTCCTGGCGCTCCTCCTCCTTGTCTTCTCCTTTGACCCGTTCTTTCTCACCCTTCAATTCTCCACATTCTAAAAATGGTAGAAGAATTCCAAGAAGACTACATACATGCCTGAGCACTCTCTGGGCCACTCCTAATCTCCAGCCAATATCTCATTACTTTGCAGAATCTCCACCCAAAGTGCGACTGGTGAGCGGTCCCCATCGCTGTGAAGGGCGGGTGGAAGTGGAACGGAATGGCGAGTGGGGCACTGTGTGTGACGACGGCTGGAACATGAAAGACGTGGAAGTGGTGTGCCGGGAGCTGGGCTGTGGAGCAGCCAAGGGGACGCCCACTGGTAATTTATATAAGCCATTGGCCGACGAAAAACAAAAAATCTTCATCCAAGAAGTCAACTGCAGTGGGACAGAAGATCAGTTGATTAACTGTGACCAGCTGGAAGATGTTTATGATTGCTCCCACAGCGAGGATGCAGGGGCGATATGTGAGAGTGAGTATGGCAGGACTCAAGGACTATATGCCAACTGTCCATAGCCTGCATGACCACTCTTTGTCCTCTTTACCTTTATTCTCCACCATGAACTGATGGTTAGAACTGATGGTTAACTGATTCCTTGTCCTTCACTTCTCACCCTTTCTCCACTGTGGACCCTGGAGTCAAATATATCCTCACCTTGAAGTGTTACTTCTCCTTGGTTGAACAGTGGCCCTAGTGATAAAGAACCCGCCTGCCAATGCAGAGAGTTAAGAGACGTGGGTTCAATCCCTGGTTGGGAAAAAAAAAGAAAATCCCTGGGCGGGGAAGATTCCCTGGAGGAAGGGACAGCAACCCACTCCAGAATTCTTGCCAGGAGAATCCAATGGACAGAGGAGTCTGGTAGGCTACATTCCATAGAGACACACAGAGTCCAACATGACTGAAGCGACTTAGCACTTGCACTTGGTTGAACTAATGATTTTCTCTTAGTTTCAAACTTAGTTGTTCTTTGTTTCAGTCTATCGAAGGACCTGATTCTCTTCTTCACAGACACGAACATGCATAGATCTAATAACCACTAGAGATTTGTGTCTACAGCTCAGGTGGTGTTATGGGGAAGAAATGAGCTCCCAAAATATAATGTAAGTATATCAGTTCTCAAGGAGTCTATCATCTAGTTAGGTAGACAGGAGATGCTCATAAGAAACCAGCACACAACTGTGTGTATATATATATATATATGTGTGTGAGTGTATGCTCAGGCGCTTCAGTTGTGTCTGACTCTTTGCAAAACTATGGTCTGTAGCCTGCCAGTGTCCTTTGTCCATGGGATTGTCCATGCAAGAATACTGGAGTGGATTGTTGTGCCCTCTTACAGGGGATCTTTTACACCCAGGGATTGAACCCAGGTGGATTCTGTACCCACTGAGCCATAGTGAGTATGGCAGGACTCAAGGACTATATGCCAACTGTCCATAGCCTGCATGACCACTCTTTGTCCTCTTTATCTTTATTCTCCACCATGAACTGATGGTTAACTGATTCCTTGTCCTTCATTTCTCACCCTTTCTCCACTGTGGACCCTGGAGTGAAATATATCCTCATCTAGAATTGTTATTCTTCCGTGGTTGAACAGTGGCACTAGTGTAAAAGCACCCTCCTGCCAATGCAGAGACTTAAGAGATGTGGGTTCGATCCCTGGGTGAGGAAGATCCCCTGGAGGAGGGCACAGCAATCCACTCCAGTATTCTTGCCTGGAGAATCCAATGGACAGAGGAGTCTGGCAGGCTACAGTCCATAGGGTTACACACAGTCGAACATGACCAAAGCGACTTAGCATGCACACTTGGTTGAACTAATGATTTTCTCTTTGTTTCAATCTTAGGTTTTCTTAGTTTCAGCCTATCCAAGAACCTGATTCTCTTCTTCACACACACAAACATGCACAGATCCAATAACCACTAAACATTTGTATCTAAAGCTCAGGTGGAGTTATGGGGAAGAAATGAGCTCCCAAAGTATAATGGAAGTTTATCAGTTCTCAAGGGGTCTATCATCTAGTTAGGTAGACAGGAGATGCTCATCAGAAACCAACATACAACTATGTATATATATGTATATATATATTGCGTGAGTGTATGCTCAGGCACTTCAGTTGTGTTTGACTCTTTGCGACCCTATAGACTGTAGCCTGCCATTGTCCTTTGTCCATGGGATTCTCCAGGCAAGAATACTGGAGTGGGTTGCTGTGCCCTCCTCCAGGGGAACTTTCCCACCCAGGAATTGAACCCAGGTGGATTCTGTACCCTTGAGCCACCTGGGAACTCTGTATATATACACACACACATATTCATACACAACAATTATATATATAATTATATATATATCAATTATATATGTAACAATTATATATATAACAATTATATATATATAAAACAGTTATATATATAACAATTATATATATATATATATAACAATTATATATATAATTGTTGTTGTATTCCTTTATGCCTTTCATATACTTGCTGTCTATACATTGATAATTTTCTGTGTGTCTATCTCCTTTTCCATTAGACTGTGATTTGGCTAAAGGACTAGTTTATGTCTTCTCTTTGTTACCCCATGGTTTGTTAGCAGACAGTCACCAAAAGTTTGTGCCTGATGCTGAGGTCTCATTCTTATTTCTGAGAAAGATTCAGAGTTAGGAGCCCCCTTATGTGGGAAAGCTGTGTTCTTGTAGAGAGCAGAAACTTAATCTTTCTTTTCCCACATTGCCAGAGACCGTGAGGCTGGTTGGTGGCCCTGGCCGCTGCAAAGGGCGCTTGGAGGTGAAGCACCAAGAGCAATGGGGCACTGTGTGCAAAGCAGGCTGGAATCTCTCAGCTGCGAAGGTGGTGTGCCGGCAACTGGGGTGTGGGAAGGCCACACTGATCAAAAGATGCTGTAACAACGATACCCAGGGCCAAGGACTCATCTGGTTGAGCAATGTGTCATGCTCAGGACAGGAAGAAAACCTTCACTATTGCCTTTCTGGGCTTGAGGGGAATAATAACTGCACCCATGATGAGGACACATGGGTCGAATGTGAAGGTAATGCCTATAAGTCCAGTGACTAGGTTTA